AAAGCTGATATTGTCATAATGTCTTGATAAAACATGTTCCCAGCTGTCCTAGGCTGGGTTTTCTAGAGAAGCAAACCCAGTAAAATATATAAAGAGAGAGAGAAAGTTTATCTTAGGAAAATGGCTCACAAACGTACAGAAGCTGGCAAGTCCAAAGTCCCTGGAGGAAACATCAGGCTGGAGGCTTTTCTCCACAGGGACTGAGAAGCTCAACGCTGGCAGGCAGTACACCGGCTGTTGACTCCAATGAATGATGAATCCAAGATCTCCAGGCCGAACAGTGGACTGCTCACTTACGCACAGTTGTAGGCAGGACAACAGAATCCCGAACCACAGAAGAATGTCTCTCTTTCCAGGATGTCCCTGGATATCCTGGAAGCAGGCCACACCCCTAAGGAAACTTCCCTTGAACAGATTGGCCACTCAGAACACAGTCATCTGATCCCATCATGGGAACAACCACACAAAACTGGGGTCCAGCCAAGTTGACACACAGCTCCAAATATCACAGTCCACCTCTTGTCAACTTGGCAGTTGTACACATCTTCTTAACCATAATTAATCTCTAAATAAGGACAATTATAAAGTCATATTTGTTCCTAACATGATACGCTAACACACATACAACCAAAATGCATTCACCTTATTTACATTTCACAGTTCGTAACAGAAGGAACAAAAAATATTTAATGCACATATACAATGAAGAAATATAACAATCACAGTCCTCATTTTTGCAGCTGGTCACATGGTTGTAGGTGATATTCAGAACTACCTTCTTCCACCACCCATTCTGTATTTCCCTTGCACGCAGCAAGCACCTCAGCTGGTCGTGGTTGTTTGGCTGGTGGGGTGACTCAAACCTTCATTCCTGAAGGGTCTGGGCCGTTAGCAGTCATATCAGAATTGAGTTGCTATAATTTTCCATTGACTTTAATCACAGGGTATGGTAGTACTAAGAGATGTCCTAAAGAAGCTCCTATATTGCAGACATTTCTTCTTTACCTCCGTTATATAAAGCCAACCCAATTTCCCCTTGGTAATCAGGATGTATCACACTAGATAGCTGCAGGGATCCAGGTGAGTAGAGAGAACTCAGGCACGCCCAAAGCAGCAGGGCAGCAGAACAGGAGAAAGGGAATAAAAAAGCAAGGAACCCATACAGAGAAGCAGTCAGCCACAGGGATCCAGGTGAGGAGAGAGAACCCAGGCATGCCCAAAGCAGCAGGGTAGGAGAGCAGGAGAAAGG